AGGTATGTTTTATAATACTAAACTTGTCACTCGTACAGTAATAGACCAATTTATCTAAAAGCTTATCTATTAGTCACATTAAACTACTTTTTTCTTAAAAGTAGATAAGAATGAAGTCACAAAGTTAAAAATATAAAAATGATTGACTTTTGAAATAGTCTTTTTTTTGGCACTATTGAATGAATCCAAAAAAGTCTACTCAAATTAATGGAGAGAAATATTTACATGTGCATTCTCTAAAGTGTTTTTCAATCTATAAAAGCAAATTTTTCATTGGGATTTTAAACAAGATTCTTACTGATATTTCTAAAAAATAAAAATCGATTCCATTTTAAAAGTATTTGACATTATAGAATTTTGAAAGTTAAGTAGGAGAGATCATAGCTCATAATCGAAAATTTCTCAACACTCTGTATGTACGGCTCAATGGTCTAGGGGTATGATTCTCGCTTTGGGTGCGAGAGGTCCCGGGTTCAAATCCCGGTTGAGCCCTGTTTTTGCTTTTATTTTTATTGAACAAAAAATATCAAATTTTAATTTATCATTACGAATGCAGTACTTTGAATGATTGAAAATTCACATAACAAAAGTGAACCTCGGCTCAATAATTTGCAATTTTTTCAAATAAATAGAATGCATATTCCTCCTTGTTTTTCGTGCCCAAAATTAAAGCCTTCATATAAATTCGAACCGCGAGCGGGAGGGGAGAAGATCGCAGCTACCATATAATACACAAAGCAATTTATTTTATAGTGCCTATATCGAGAATCAACTACTGTGTAAACGTTACGCATATTGCTCGGCTCGCCATATATATAATACGATGCACACTGCACTGCACATCCTCAGCGTAGCAGCGCCTGTGCGCCAGTGTATACGTATGCATCAAGCGTGTGCGAAAGGTAATCTATATTCCGTGCAGGCGTGGAATTATATATTGGCGCTTCTGCCGCTGCTGCTTTCCCGCCGCCTTTTTTTCGCCCGTGGCGCAAAAGACGAACAACTATACCCGATCGCCGCCGCCGCTGCAACACGCCGCACGTGAAACTATATATATATTTCATACATATAGCATAGAGCAAACACAGGTGTGCGTGCTCGCGCGCGCGCAAAGAGAGAGAGAGAGAGAGAGAGCCATCGACTAAATGCCCCGACTCCGAGAGCTATCGTTTATTCTTTAAGCTCCATCACTCACACGGGGCTTGCCTCATAAATAATACCTGCATTTTTCGGCACGTTTATTGAGATAGCGAGCGAGCGAAGAACCAACGTTATATAAATTCAAATCCTGCCCCGCCAACGGGAGAGTTATATGTAAATTATCGACGTATTAAAAAGTATGTGTGGAAAAACTGGGAGAGTGAAAAGAGATTCGTGTGAACGCGGGCCGCAATTATTATTAATCCCCTCGCGAGTGATTAGAAAAAAATATACAAATTAATTATTTCGTTATTACGCTTCTCTCGATTATTAAAATTATATTATAAAATCAATCGAGTGAATTCCCGAAGCTCCCGTCAAAATTTCATGTATCCTCTAATCTTTGGTCGATTTTCACCCAACACCATGTACGCCGACGCGGTGATTTTGAATATATGGCCCTTAAGCCTCGGCCGATCGATCTTCGATCGTATGTAACACGTCGCACAGCCATCGTCGTCGTATATTCTATTCTATTTCTCGTCGCTATCACGTGCGGTGCGATCACTCGCATGAATATGTATGACTCCGCGGACATGCGGCTCTCGTAACACCAGTAGCAAAATTCGCTAGATATATTCTTTTAATTTCTTTTTTTTCTCTCTCTTAGAAAAATTCAGAAGCGCCAACACATAACACAGCTGCGACTCTTTTACGGTTTTGATTGGAGCGTTTCGGTGTGTTTGTGTGTGTGGAGATTTAGCGCGCGCTAAAAGAGCTCAAAGAAGAGAGTTCCACGCGTAATTATTTGCTTTTTGGACGCGCTTTTTTCGGGTTACATAATAGCAATCTAGAAGTGCTTGATTGGTTTTCGCAGATCCTTGAAGCGTTCGTCAAAAGTGATTGATGATGATTAAAAAATGTTACTAGGATTTCTTCTTCTTTTTTTTTTTTTTTTTGTAAAATATCAATACTGATTACGTTGCAAAGTATCATACCGTTATTTATTCTTTTTTATCGTCATCAAAGATTTTTCCTAGAAAATTACTCTGTAAACGAAATACAACCTTTTAATCAAGCGACGATATAGTCCTCACTAACAAGCATCGAACGCATCACGAGTGGGCGCACGCGGCAAGAAAATGCACGAAGCACTCAAAGAAGCCGAAGCAGAAAAAAACAACAAGCTAGGATAGAGGATGGATAGAGTTCTCGAGAGACTTTTAAAAGAAAAAAAAATTAGCCATGAAAAAGCATCCTATTACGCTAGGATACACGCGTCTCGGGCTATGTGTGCGTATCTCCCGGATAATGACGCGAAAAAAAGTCAGGCGGGCAGACACGCGCGTATCCTCCTCCGTATCATTGTCGAATAATGATTAGCCCAAAGGCCCATCGACAACGTGTATATACAAAATATAATAATGTGTGACGAGCGCACGAGCAGGGGCGACGTTTACTGGTGTTATAGCGCGGCTCGGATCAAACAGCTATCGAGCTCGCGTCTGCTGCCGCCTATAGACAATAACGTTGTGCTCACCTGCGTGGACGACTCCAAAAATGACCGAGTAATGACTCGTGTGTTTGTTCAAACGATCGGATATTAGCTCGATGTGTTTTTTCTTTCCTTCTTCTTCTTTTTTTACGTTACGAAAAGGCTTTATAGCACAAAAGCGCATCTAAACGTCGAAATTCGCTCGCGACGATTTCACGAGCTCGAGCTTCACGGTGTGTCGGTCGGTCGGACAGGGTGATAAATGGCGCGACAAGGTGCCGCTCACGCACATCCATCTCTTGGCGGCGGCGCGCGGCCCTTTACTTTTAGCACACACTAGAGAGAGGCCGAGTCGGGAAATTGACGCCCGGACGACAGCGGCAGGTTTAGTTTCGGCGTTTTCAGCTCTTCTTCTCTTTTTTTCGCTCGCTTGTCTCGTCTCGAAGTTAACTGATAGTTTCCCTTGAATTTTAAAAGCGAACGCGCAATAGAATGGAAAAATATTGCCTTGCCTCTTTCAACCTCGTGACGCCCCAGACAATATTCCACTAAAGCATTTTACTAGTACTTAACAAGGTGTATAGTTTGTATAGTTCTATGTGTGGTACATTGCCACTTAAGCGGCAGACAAAGTTTCGCACATTGTCCCGTAATAAAGGGAAGAAGAAGATGAGGAAGAAAAGAAAGAATCGACTGCGATACTCGATCACTAGGACGACGGTTTTTCCTTCTTCCTCGTGTCTTCTTCTTCTTCGTCGCTGTCGATTTTTATCGCGATGGACCATCTCTTTTCTATGTCTACAGGCTCAAGCTTTTGCCCCGCTGACACAATCCTCAAATTCGGATCGCACAAAAAGATACACGAAACGTTATACGAGGGCATTTAACTCGAGCACGGGCAATGTGTATCGGCGAAACCGCAGCTAGCACTAATCCAAGGGCGCCCGCCGTAATGACGATCGATGGACAAAAGCTCGCGCAAAAATCGTCAAAAAAGCCACAAGCCGCGCTCATATATATATGCGTATGTAAGCGTAGCAACGCCGCGTGCGTGGAGCCGTATATCAAAATAAAATAAGCGCGTGTGGCGCGTCCATTTTACGTCATAATAGCTCTCCGGCTTGACTGGCGTTTAACGCGTTCTCGCTCACATATATTGGAGCGCGGCGGACAAGCTGCGGCCCTCGTACTATACATGCCAAGCGAGCTCGAAAGATATGGACCAACGATTTGCACAGCTATCGCTTTTATTTTATCAAGACTCATGAGCTCTTTTACTTTTATATTTTTTAATATTAATTTGATTTTAATGTTTGCCCGATAATCAAAAAATTACCAGTACATCACCAAATACACTTGTTATAGGTTGCGATTGTGTTAAAAAATATTAGACGCATTTTAAAGAACTCAAAACTCAAAATAACAATTGAATTGCTTAAAAAAATGTAGATGACCAGTTTTTTTATATGTAGGCCTATTGCAGCAGAGGGTACCCTAATAAAAGTAAACTTCGGTAACGGGGAGCCCTATGCACACAGCTCATTATTTTCTTCTATCTCTAAAACAACGCATGTCGTAGTTATAGCTCAATGACTCTACGATGACGCATCGCCAAGCGGTCAATCCTATCGATTGATGTAAAAGACAAGTAAAACTAGATGATTATACGATAAAAGTATTCTTATTGTATATATATGACTCCTTCGCTTGTCCCGTAACGTCGCAATGCCACTTTAAGCCTTCACCGCTAGATGCCGAGTACATTTAACACATTTTTGTACATAAAATCTACAAATAGCAAAGTAAAAATAATAGTATAAGTAAGTTAAAGTACGATTTTTAATAACCGTAAACTGTCTTGAATCGATATCTATCTCTCCACAACTTGATGGCGAGTACCTTTATCCATAAATATACGCAAGTCTCAGAGTTTAATTTAAATGCACATTTCTCTTTACTGTCAATGATGAAACTCGTTTGTTCGTCCAAAACTAGCCATAAAATGTTGAGCGATACAAGCAAAGCTTCTAAACATTTAAATTAATTATTATTGCGGTAATGAACGTTATCCCCTGTTCTACCAACTGCTCGAACGATTTGGGATATAACAGTGAAAAAAAAATGGTTTAGCTAATAAACTTGCGCATTAGGCCTTTTTTATTATCTTTTAATAGTATTGCGTGGCTTGTGTTCGCATTTATAGCGCATTTTTTCCGCGACATTGCGTCTTGCCTACCGCAATCTAACAGCTCATTCCGCGGTGCCAGAATTAGTGCGACTTACATCTCGGAATGCACAGTACAAAGGAGAACACTTTTTGGCACTTGGATCGTAAAATTTTATTATGAGAGGTATATACATCGGTTTTCAGGTACGTTAATTTAATTGAAATTATAAGTTAAAATCTTAAGCGCTAAATATCCGGCTGCACTTTCTTTGTAGCTCTTATGAAATAATCCAACTCCAGATAATGCAACATCGGGATTCTTCGATGCAATAGGCTTCAAATCCACGAATGGTATTACGCTTTGTCCTAGGTCATGGTGCATGCTACTCGTAGACAAAGTCGTGTACCGACCTGGATCCGTAAGAGCGGGTTGACTTATCGGATGTTCCGGCGGTAAATCCAAGTATTCCAGTTGGAAGGGGCTGTAAACCAAATGTTTTTGGTTAAATAAAAATGCGATCGTTGACGAAAAAAAAGTACATCTCATTTACCTCAGCTGCTCTTGAGAGGTCGTGTGACGGTGCCACGAATGCTTATTGGCTTTGAGTTTTCCGCTCGTATTGGAGAATTCGGTGCCTCGAACTTCCAATCGTATTAAACCTTGATCCACGGCGAATTTCACACCAGTTAAGACGGTATTTTTATAGACTTCAACGTCGTCCAGCTCGAAAGATCTTGAATACCAGCTCAATTGATGATAATCGATGCCTACCCGCACGTCTCTATCGGTCGTCTCGTAAGCGTTGACTTTTACCCAAGATTTTGTTTTTGGATCTATCGCAGCTGATGGTAAAAGTTTGGCTTGTTGCACTTGAAGATGAAGAATATCGTTGACTTTTCTAAAACGAATCCCTGTGATGACCCTGTTACAATCGATAAGGTCGTATTCAAGTCATTTCAATCACTTAAAATCTTAATATCCTTCAAATATCTTACTTATTTTCCTGCACATTTGATACCACTTCTCTCAAGTTGATGTACGATTTTGAATCAGGATTTTCACACGTACAAAGGCATGAAGCGTAGGCTCTTTAGGGAAAAGGTCTACCTACATTGGTTCTGTGTAGATGTACTCTTCCACTACACGTTTCCTTTTTTATACCCATAATCTGTCCCTCAAATTCTATGTAATCGTACTTACGTGTTTTATCAGCCTGAATAGTAAAAAAATCTGTCGTCAAAACATAATTTATAAAAATTTTGTTTTCAATCTATTACCGATGCATGACAAACTTCGATGTCTGCGGCCAAGTTGTTGCAAGACATTATTTTTCCACGACAATGCGCGTATTTATCGCACACATATACAGGCTCTTCTAGACAGCGACTCTCAACATCGTTTATGGATTTGCAGAGTTCATAAAAATGTGCCGTCATAGCTTCCTTGGCCTCGAATGTTCGGTAAATAAATGGGCCAAACTGCTCATAAGTGACACCTTCTTCAGGGCTGTCTACTATTTCACAGTTCCACAGCACGCGAGAAATCATGCCCATGGTATCTTTTTGAGCTGCGAATGCTTCGTTCGATCTTCTGTAGAAATTTTGTTTCACGACGTCAAGATTCTTTTCTAACTCTATTTTTTAAAAGAATACATCTAATTAATTTGAGTAAAAGACTTTTTCGTAAATTCATTCTGACCTTCGGGTGTTTGTTTTCCATGCATCTGTTTTAGCGCGTACACAAGTATGGCAAGTCCTTTTAGTTCAGCGTTATGAAGTGCTGGATAAAATTTCTGAACTATTTTCACCTGTGAATAGCGGCTCGGGCATATAGGCGAAGAAATCTAAATAAATCAATCAATATCAATTAGTTTCTCTATATATTTCAACATGGTGAATCATACTCACGGTTTTGGAATATTTATAAACAATATCGTCTACTTTGTATAAAGTAGAGTGCATACCATTTAAGGTTTGCGTTACACCATGATAATGATGATAATTTACAACACCATGTACAAAATCATCGATAAATAGCTGAGTGTAATTCTCTTTTAATATTCGTAACATTTCATCGTAATGATTGTCTATTATGGTCCCAAGCAGAAAAAATGATGATATGAGTGGTTTCGTCTCTACGAGTAGCTCAATCTTTTCTAATTTACTCATGACTTCCTCTCTGAAACTGTCGAGGTTTCCAGTAATGTCATCTAACTTGTCATTGATAATACTGAAAGTACTGCCGATATTATTCTGATTGTTATTCAATTCAAATAATAAAGAAGCAAAGTCAAAAGCAGATTTCGCCAAGTCTAAAGGATTGCTTAAAGATGTTAAAACGTCCAATCCAGCTCCAATAACTTGTACAGGGTCCAGTTCTGATTTTACATCGCGCACAAAAATAATAAATACGAATAAAAATGATAATTTTACCATTGTATAACTCATTCTATCAATTTATTGTAAGCAAAATATTTTTTTATATAAAAATGTATAACTTTGCACAATCGTGAAATATATGACGTAAAACTGAGTTTAAGCGTTTACTTTTATACTTTCCTCGTAGCTTTTTATGATTGAAAACATCACGAATCATTTTTTTCGCGTCAATTTTAAACAATTAAATAATGTTCCTTTTTTTTATTGGCGTCAAAATAAAAGAATGACCGCATAAAATAAATGTATTTATTTGTTTTTTCATCGTTCCTTTCATTTCAAGTCTAGAAAATGATTTAAAATACTAGATAATTTTGCTAAAAATTGTTGAAAAAACATCAGTCTTGGAGAAGAATAACCTTTTCAAAGTATAGCGCCAAATATACTTTTATCCAACTTTTAAATTGGTTCAAAACTCCCACTCAGATTTCGTTACTACTATAGTTGAATTACTAATATATTTTTTATCATTAGTAACTGAGCAAATTGACAAGATCGGGATGTACTTTACGAAAAATTTAAAAAAAAACTGTACATTTTTTAGATTGTTCAGAAAAAAATTATAAAATAAATCTATGCGCATCGGGACTTTTTTCTGAAAAGGTATAATTTTCATGGTATTTATGCGAAAAAATAGGTTTATTAGTTTTTCATGGCACTGCGTGACTCAAGTTCCCATTTATGTCACGCTTTTTTCTGTCGACACGAGTTGCACATTGTGGCACTACGTCATGTCTATCGAAATTGTTGCGCAAAAAATATCTCAAGTTATATGTTGTAGTAGGATGCATAAATATGAACATAGCGCAATTCTACATGAAATTAAATTACAATACTCGCATCAAATGTATCGCATTATGCTTGAAAATTACAATACACTAATGTATTGAGAATTGAAACAAGCTTGTTGAAAATTCCATGTACGTTAAGTTTTCTTTTTGGGTACGCAGTAATTCATAAATTGCCTCTAGATTGGGTGTGGTCAAATTTTCGAATACTAAGACAGAAAAAGTTAAGCTTTAGCTTTAAATTTTATTAGCCTTAAATTAGCTTTAAGTTTATAATAGTAAATATTGTAAAATCATTCTTACTCAATTAAAATATCGATTAAGCGTCAAAAATCTACAAACCTTCTAGACCAAGCTGATTTCGTGGCGTAAAAACATCTGTCCCAGAATAAAAAAACAACCCACTTGAGATGTACTTTTCAATGAAAATTCCAATTCATACTTCATAGTGTGTAATGTTCGCCGGTAACACTTTTACTTTGCAACGCGTTGAAAATTTCATTCACTCAGGTTAATCCTCAACTTCGAACGCATTCAAAATTTGTGTGTATAAGCAATCGGTGCTTACTTAGATTTAAAATCAAATCGAATAGCTCTTGCGTGTACTATAATACATCGCTTCGTATGTACATATTTCGAGACATTCCATCAATTTTAAAAGTTTATTCGACTCGCTCATTAAAGAATTTTCAGCGTATATGATGTATCATAGTTACGCGCGGGAAATTAAAAAGTTTACAAGCACTCGCGAAAGGATTAATACAAACTCGATCGAATTTTAGATAAAAATTTTGTTCTCTCCGGTTGCAGTGTCCACGCCGCGTATCAGCCATCGTGAAAGCAACACACACACACACACACATGCCTATACCTAAGATTTTTATCGGCGTTACAAACCAGTGCGTGTTTAAAGTCGAGTCGTTTTATAAGAGCTCCTCGCTCGTGACGTTGACATTTTCCATGTTATACGCATACGTACGTTACTGCGATGGCGGCTCTCTCGGTTGACACATGGAGATTTCACGTATTCTAAAGACCTTTTCATTCGTCGCGCGCGGTGGTGGCGGTTACGTAAGCGCACACATCGTCCGCATCGTATACTTGCGTTTGAACCTACGAATGCACGTACTATATGCGCTCGGCGCGATACAATGCAGGAAATACGAAACGCACGCGAGCGTCTTTCTTTCTGCAGTTACATTATACTTGCACAGAAGTAGCATAGGTGAAAGAAAAAAAAAATTAAATATTTTACGCACCCGAGTACCTTTTCTCTCGAAGCGATTATTATTTTTCCCCTTTCTCTGGCTGTGCGAGACGACATCATATAAACATAATTCGATCTATAATGGCAGCTTCTAAATAAAAAAAAAAAAAAAAAAATAGCCTGCAGGAACGGCAGCAGCTCTATCTCTCTCGAATATGTCATCGCAGGCGTTTTTGACCGGTTTTTGATCGAGCGCCACTCGATGCTGCTGCTGCTGTAGCTGCAAAGCATTTTGAAAAGTGCGTGCGAAACCTTCTCTCTCTTTCCCTCTCTCTTTCTCTTTTGCGGCGGCAACGAATTATTCGTCACTTTATTTATGTCACTCGAAGTACGTGTATAGTACAAGTAAGTACGTGTACGAGCCTCTCATTTTCTATCTGACTGACCTCCCCTGGTATCGCGCGCGGGGTTGCGAATGATGATGATGAAAAAAAAAAACAACCAACAACAACGCCTCTCGTTCGGTGATTCGTCGAGTGCCTCGTGCATTATATACAATCGTCTAGTCTATGAGCTCTCTGCGCTTAGCGTTTTTACAACGGAGCGCGCGAAATAATTTCCCTCGACGCAATCTAACGCTTGGTTGATTTCCGAGTCCCGACTTTTATGGCTATATAAAGTTGACGCGATGTGTGTGTGTGTGCTCAGGCATACGTGTTCATTTATGTTTAGTAGACGCCGATTGATGCGGTGCCTCTTTATAAAGCCGAAGCCGCTAAGCTGCGCGCGTTTAGCGCGATTCTTTCGTATTATTATAGCCGCGTCAAATTGATATAAACTAGTTTCTGCAGCGTGAAGACTTCACACTTAAATGCTCGTCCGAGCTATCGCTTATAGATTCATGAGCTCGGCTCTATGCAAAATTATAATAATAAATTCGTTTTCCAACATGCGCTCGAAGTTTACGCGTATGTATATAATTTACTTCGCGCTACTACACACTCAATTTCTCATCCGAACATAATTGAAATATTTCGCCATTTGTATATAAAAAAAAAAAAAAAAACAGAAAGAGTCGTGTGCTTCGTGATCATTGTTGAAACTTCAAATTCAACAAAACTTCGTTTTGTATACATACGACGAAATTGCTCGAGGCAACGCAAGTGTGCACCGCTCAAGTGTATTTATATACCTGAAAAACTCGGATCATTGTCCAGCCGCATTTTCCGCTTGACTTGGCTCATTGACTAATTTCTTTAATGCCGCCCGTACTAACTTCGGGCATTAATCGGACGGAAGAAACAAAGTACACGCACACACACACACACTCGCGGCCAATTTCAGAAACCCTCTCGACATTTTTCACATGCGTACAAGGTACTCACCTATGGTTTTTTAAGTACTTTTTCAAATACTTCGTACCTCAAAAATATAAACATACATCTAGTAGCGATTCACACTTTGCGTATACTCTCGAGAGGGGGGGGGGCGGTTATTGCTATGCGCGCGCGCTTTTTTCTCATCGCGAGCCTGGAATGCCATTTTTTTTTTCTTCTCCTACGGTTCATCAAGTATGTGTCCCGGGTATATAAATAGCGCGTAGCCACTGAAGTGACCGTCACATATTACATGATGCACTCGAATTATCGCTCGAGCGTACGCGCGGACGTGGAATTTTTCTTTCACTGTACATCCGTTTATTGTGAGATTTGCATTCTGCAAATGTCATCGATTCTTCAACAAGAAGAAAAATAGAGAGAGAGAGAGAGAGAGAGAAAAAGATTCGAGATGTGTTTTATTTATACGTACAAAAATTGAATATTTTACAAGGGTGGATGTTTGGGATATCCGAGCCGAGCAGCCTCGTCGAACATGGCGACGAGCGAGTCCATGACCTCCTGGCCGGAGGGGATAATTTGATCGGCGGGCAGCAGGAAGCCGTAATTACCCTGATCTCGCAGCTCGTAGATGAAAACGATCGGTAATCCGAGGACTCCTTTGACCCAGTCGATGGTGCAGCCGGACGCCAGATCTGACGGATAATTGAATGAAATCGAATTCGAACAACGACGCGCATTGCGAAATGATCGAAAATGTTCAATACAGTATCGTACATATTGTTTCCGCCGCGTTGCCGAACTTGAACTGGGTGCCGTATCTCTGGGCGAGCGCCTCGACAGCTCGACGACTCATGGCCCTCTGCATATGATCGTGAAATGATAAAATTAATAAACAAACAAGATACTCGATGGAAAAGGATGAAAAATTTCCTCACGGATTCCTCAAAGTTCTCGAGATTTCCCGTCGTGTACGAGTAGGGATACATGAGCAGCTGCGAGTAGCTGTGAAATGCCAAGTAGGCAAAAAGTTTATCCTTCACGGAGTAGAGATACTCGGATAGCGTCAACGTTTCTATTTCGGAGAAAGCTCTCGTTCCTGCATAAATTCCGGAGCAGGGCTCCGGGCTGGCGCCGCTAACTTCGTAATCCAGCGAATATAAAAACAAAAAAAAAAGGGAGAGAGAAAAAATAAATGATGCGATTCCAGAGAGAGAAAATTTACTCGTCCTGGCTCACCGTTCCATTTGTAATCCCAGTTTCTGTTCGCGTCGACACCTGTGCACTTTGAATTCGCTTGCGGTGATCTCGTTTTACGCCACAATCGATCCTGAGCGTTAGCGGGTGCATAATATAATGGATTACGTTAATTAAGTTTCGATAGATTTTAGATCGAGATTCTGTATAATTATTCAATCGAAGCCTCACGTGCTCGTGCGTGTACGCGTAGCCGTCGGGATTGAATATCGGCACGAAGTACCAGTCGTAGGACTCGGCCAAGTGACGCACCGCGACGTCTTCGCTCGTGAGCAATTCGTTGGCCAGATAGGTCACAGTCGCGGGCGATATCCACTCGCAGGCGTGTATGCCACCCTCGATGAAAATTCCCGGTCTCGGCCGGGCGCCGAAGCTCAGCTTGAAGCCCCAAATCGTCCTATTTTCGTAAGTGCGCCCGGCCACGAACGACTCGACCCTTTCGGGATATTGCCGTTCGAGCGCGCTCATCCACTCGTTGATTTGCTCCAGAGTGCGATACCTCTTCCAGCCCTCTTTTTCCTCCGACGAGTTTTCGTTGTCGATGAGATGCTGGATGTCGTCGATGAAAACCTCGTAATCCAAGCCGACGACGTCCATGGCGCGTGTGAACTCGGCAACGTGGTCGGGCGGCACGACGATATCGACTCGCTCGTTCAATGCTTTCGGCGGCATCCAATACCAATACTGCGAAGGCAAAGGATTTTTTTAATAATAAAAAAAAAAAAAGGAATAAAATGTATACATAAGAATTTTTACATATTCCTTTGTACTCACCACGCCGTTGGTGTTACCCTCGAGCTTTTTCAAAAGTAGCAATTGAGCCTCGGTCGTTGGGTACACTCGATAGACCCGATGCTTTTTGTAGCTCACTTTTTCCGACGAGACCGCTGCAGCCACAACCGCAATGAGGATCAAAATAAACAACACAGCCCGGCGCAACATCGCGTGATCGAATTTTTTGGCTTTTTTTTCTTTTTATAAAACGAGAGTCGTCGTCGCTCGACGACGCACAACTGCCGCGTTCGTGCCGTATTTTTTATATAAAGTTGAAAAAAAAAACGCGTCGATTATCGGGATGCGTTAGCTCCGAAGCTTTATCCGAATCGATCGACAAGATATCGCCTGATGCAATATAACTCGAGGCAAACATCGAAACGTCTGCTGCTAAATACATCTTCGCCTCGAATTCTTCGATTAGATCGGGTGTTTCGATATGAGATTTGACGACTGTGTTTTGAATTCCATGTGTGTTGATTTACAAACGATTGCAATAATTATTTAATATACGATTAAAACCTCATATTTGTAACGATACTCGTGAAATGAAAAAAGTCACTCTACTCAGAAAAAATTTAATGCCGTCCTCCTGTGCAGTAGCAGAATCGCTACTGTACATCAAATTATCACGCACGAGCAGTTTTTACATCGACAAATAAATCACGCTGCAGCCTTCTATATTCGAGAAATAAAAAAAATGTGTCAATATATAATGCAACTTGGAAGTTACATTATTGCTGCTGCTGCTGCTACTCTTAAAACGACAATGTGGCACTTGTGCGCGCCTCGCGTATATATACGATTTAAAAAAATAATAAAAAAAAAGGAAATCTCAGCGGGTTATCTGCTCGCGGGATCTCCTTCGTCGAAATCTGTGCGCGTCGCACGCTGTGCGCTGCAGTATACATACAGCGCGTGGTGTATATATATGCTTTTTATTAGCATCGTTTAAAAGGATGTTTACGTGCTTATGGGAACGACACGATTGCGGACAATGGGAAGGTCACTCTCGCTTATGTGTGTAGTACACGGGTGGTATGCGCATGCACATCGCGATGCGCGGAGGCGACACGCAGTCTGTTGAGCGATTCATTGAGTATATGATTTTTTTTTCATTCATTCATTCGTTCGTTCATTCATTTCGTTCGATTTCATTCACGAGCCTCTCTCGTTCACCACTTTTGAAAATTCCTGAAATCTCGATTCAGCTCGAGTATATAGTATTCATGACGTGTGTGTAAGGTCCTCGGGCTCTCTCATTCAGAGAGAGAGACAATTTTTCGAAGTATATATTTCGAATTGAAATCTCGATCTGTCGTCGATGGGTAAATATTTATCGCGCTTATAGTCGCGTCGAGATAATATGAGACAATCGTGCAGGCCGTTTTCTCATCATCGGGTAAGTCCATCACACACACACACACACACACACGTACGAATTCTCAATTTAGAGAGAAGAGAAAAAAAAGTAACACGGAATCAATCGATTCACCGATTTCTACCGATGTGTGAAATACTAATAATTTTCAATTTTGCGTGGGAGATTCACTTTGCGCCTATTCTCCTTGACTTCGTTTTTTTTTTTTTCATAAACACCATCCAATCGTACAATTGCGCACTTTATACACGCGTTGCGTATATCATCGGGTGTACTGTACGCGTGTTTTTTTTCGCTCTCTTTTCAATTTCCAGGGAAATCGATCATTAGGCCGGACAGTGCGAGTACGAGAGAGAGAGAGAGAGAGAAAAAATAGCAAGGTGACAAATACAAACAACAGCGCAAAAATTCTCACGTGCTGCATATGTGTATCGTTCGTACGCATACACACACATACGCACGCGCAACGGCACACACGATGGCTTTTTTTGTGAGTGTAGCGAGGGACGAAATTGTTTTCCTTTCACGCGAGTATTAGGATTGTACCTGCCGGCGACATCCTATTATACTCCGATTAAACCGTGATCCAACAAAGAGCTCACTCTACTATTTTATTACCCCACTGATGCGGTTTTTGTATGTATCGTGTCTTTTCTTTATTTTACATTCTTTTCGTGTTTCTTTTTATTCTCTAAAAAAAAATGTTTTTTAAAGCGCGGATATATACGTGTGTATTTACTCTCGGCTAGCTTCTCAATACTTACTTCTTCGTCGTGTCTCTGGGGTAACATCTCATGCTTGATTTGAGGATTGCAGGTATAATGTTAAGTGTAATGCTCGGGCAACAATAAAAGTCAGCGTTCGTTCTGTGTACGCGTAAACTTTTATTTTTTTTGTGTACAAGTATTAATGTTCGGCGCGGGATGACGGTGCATTTTCAAAGTACACGCACGCATTTTACTCGTTCTCGAGATTATTGGTCGAATTAAATGATCATTATTTACACTTTTTTATCGTCTATCGCGAAATGCAGTCGTGAGGAACAATCTTATCCGAGAGCGTCTGCCTTACTCTTTGTTGTGATAATACATAGTAGCGAATAAAACGTTTTGATCACGTGATCAAAAACAATAAGTCAAAGGTTAATTCCATATCAAAAGTTCAAAACAATCAAGTAAAATCAACTAAACGCGAAAACTATCAATAAGCTGCATTCCAAAACTCTCTCGTCTTGCAGCAAAAGCAGATTAAAATTTGTTTGCACGAACGCATGCACAGAGAGTGGCGGTGAGCTGCATTCACGAGTAAAATCCCAGAAGCAATGAAACGAGCGAACTGTATAAGGCTCTTACGCGGGGGGAGGGAAAAGAGAGAGAGAGAACTTAAATTTTATCTGCAGAAATGAATACTCACGAAGGAAGCTCGCGAGCTCTGCTGCTGCTGCTGATGCATCTCGGTAACCTGAAATTACACCATAATATGAAAACATCAATTATTCAAAGATTTACATTAGTTATATGAATGCTATCCACATATTTTCTCTAATTTTAACATGAATTTACGCTTGTAAAGCATAATATTGATTTTCGTCTGTTTCCAAGGTATAAATAGCATCTTTTCAATTTCAAAGTTTGAAATTTGCTTTATTCTCCGCCTCGCGCGCGATCTCCTCAGCTTATGTGAGCTTTGCAGAACTTTGACGTTATTAATAATTTTCTGCGTAATTTCAACAACGCTCGCACAATAATCCTAACGTTGAAGGTTGAATAATACCGGTATCGTAGATGGGTAATAGTGTGAATATTGTTACTTTACAATAATAGTAATAATAATAATAAATAAATGATGGAACTATTGCAAACAGTGCTTCTATGTTGTTTGATGATATGTGTAACATTACAAAACACTTTCTGTAATTGACCCGAGAGAATTACAACTCGACCGATAAATCATCATTATGGTAATAAGGGCAAGAAGGGTTTTTCAAGTAAAATACAAATATTTCAGAATCAAGAGTATCCTCGGTAGTTTTATTCGTAGAGGTATCATATTTACAATTTACATATAAAAATAATGTACTTTTTATAATACTTATGACTATGATACATATTATCACTTTTTCTGATAATTTAGAGCACTAGAGTTTATTACAATTAATTTAATTAATTAAATAATACAACCGTAAAAATTACATATAACTACATAATGTACATTTAAAATTACAATTCACACGGCAGTGTTTTCATAATGTAAGTAACATTCGACGGACTTTTACTATAATTGAGCTCCACAAGAGATGAATTCGATATTTACAAATATTTACAGAATATTTACAAATGTTAAACCTATGCAGAATACGACGATTGAAAAATAATTTGACTTAATTTGAACTAATGCATGAAGCTAGTAACTACGAGATGATGCGTCAAGAATATTTTTTTAATTTCGAAGATTGAAAGTCAAGGTTTTAATTTAGGGAAACTATCGATCTATGACTAATTTCTCGAGTACTTGTGAATTTTTCAGTGAAAAGTGTTAAATTTTGACAGCTCCGCACGTTACACCTTCTCATTTGGAACATAATTTAGCTAGACTCCATTAATACTTTAATTGGCGCTACGAACTAAAAAAATCACTACTACGAAACACACTTGGAATCGATCCTATACACAATCACGACTTGACCATACTCTCGACGGAATGATTCGTGCACGACTTTCTACGCGAGCTCATTATTAAATCTTTCTCGAGCGTCAAGTCGTCAGCTGCCTGCATGATTTTAATCCTCTTGTAAGCCGCCGCTGCCGTCTCCTCGCTCGCGCTGTCATTGTCCTCTCTCTTTCTTTTGGACGAACGATCGTCGTCCGACTCGACGCACATCTTCGTGTCCTCCTGCGAGTCCCGCGAGTCCTCCTTGACGCTCAGATCGGCGGCGGCGTCGACGTCCTCTTTCGCGCACTCGGCGGTCTTTTTGCAGGTGCGCAGGCAGCAGCACTTGGCTCCGTTACCGGAACCCGCACTAGCCGCGCCCGTACCCGGGCTGTCCTCCTTCTTGTGCTTCACCCGTCGATTCTGAAACCAGATCTTCACTTGCTTCTCGGAGAGGCGCAGAGTCCTGGCGATCTCGATCCGCCTCAGCCGCGTCAGATACATGTTCGCGGAGAATTCGCGCTCGAGCTCGAGCAGCTGAGTGCTCGTGAAGGCCGTGCGGATGCGCTTCGAGCTGTTGGAAATCGTCGTGCCGCCTGTGATCGACGACGAGTCCCCGGGCTTTTCCGGCGAGAGAGGCGTGGACGGCGTCGAGCAGAGACTCTCGCGCGACGGCGACGATTCGGCGGCCGTAGGGTGCCTTTCTGTTGATGGAACAAAAAAAAACACACACACACACAACCCCATGAGATTACCATTCGCAAAAATTTCCATCGATAATACACACGTTGTTTTAAATATGACTCGTCTTACCTGGATAATTGAAGGACAATGATTTTTCGTTACTGGGCGAGGGCATTCTGTACATGGGATCCGCGGCGAGCGGCAACGGAGCCATCGGCGAGCCGACCAAAGCCGGGCTCGGTGGATATTGCTGGGGAACCTGATTGCAACCGGTCAACTGATTCCTCGCCGCCGGATGATGCTGCTGATACGTGAAGTTCAAAAAATTGAACATGTTGAAATTCGGCATGTTGCGACTGCAGAACTGGGGCGGCATCCGATAGCCGTCCGGACCGGCGGCGGCCGCGGCGGCATTGGCGCCGATCAAAGAGTCCACCAAGAAGTTGCGCGACATCATATTGACGAGCACGACGGGCACACGAAGAGCAGCAGGGGGGGGGGGGCTAATATCCGGATTCACTTACGGCGACCACCGCACTTTTATATTATAACGAATGTCAACACACAAAATAATATTCGATGCACAACGATGTACGACCATGTATTATATCCCATGCACTGAACGTGTTTTCTATCGTGTATGAAAACGGCACAAAAATGAGAATACGACGAGACGATGTTACACGCGCGCCGGACGTTCGTTGAGTGACGCTGGTTTTCGGCCAAGTGCGATATTTATACAGGCCCGTGTGTTTTGTATAGACTCCACCCCGAGACAACTCGAGCGGGTAGTAACACAACACGACGAGGCCCCGAACAGTATGTATTAGGGTTTCTTATTTGAAAAAGGGACGACGACTCCGCCCTATGAACACACACACACACATACACAGAAACTTTTTGGGCTAGAGTATTATAAGCTCGCCCCACTTCGAGAGATTTGTTACAGTTCTTCTTCTCTTTCGCGATGATCCACACGACTCGAGCACATATGGGGTACTACTACCACCACCGATGCTCAATGAAAATTCATTTTTTTTTTTTTTTTTGCCTTCCTTCCATAAGAGTGGGGTATTTAGGCGCACGAACTTATTAGGAGTGTATACGCGCGTGCATTCAGCTCGACCGAATGATAGACTACGATGACTCTGCTTTTTTAATTTTGATTCGACCATTACACGCTCTCTGCATGCCCGAGTGCTTTCGAATATGTGCGGCCTGTGTTCGTGCGAGACAGAGGAGAACGAGCCGCGCGCGATCCATGAGAGTTGATGCAGCATTTGATCTTGGCTCTTCGGAGCTACTGACGCAGTGAGACGTATCGTAAAATCCGCATCGAAGTGTTGTACGGTGAAGGGCTTGAGATGTGCATTCAAAATTACTTCGCGATTTTTGATAAACGCTACAATTGGCTGTAATTGGGTTTTACACGCTCGAAAGGGTTTCGTTGTGTACGTGGATTTGCCCTATTAATATTAACGTTTATTTCGACGTTATTACGCGGCTCGTACGATAGTATATAATTCGATTTATATCCATTAACTTTCGCATTTGTATATACCGAGAGAAAGAGATGATTACAATTCGTTAACGGTGTGCGTGTGCGCGCCGGTGATTCATTTTAATTCCGACAGACAGTTTGATTTTAATGCGTTTATCAATATTGCATACAATTTTTAATTACGATTAATACCGTATGTACGTGCGGGAGCAAAGCTCACTGTTAAAGCGATGACCGTAAAATGTTTTTGTGAAGAAAATATTTTAGAATTTCTTTTATAAAATGTGAAGTTATAGTATTCCATTAATAATAATAATAATATGAGTCTTTGAATATTTGAAAGAAATTTTTAAAAAACAAAGAATATTTGCAAAGGATGTTGGGATAAATATTATCAATCATCAGAAATAGAAAAATTAGCCTACATTTAATTATTATAAATGATTTTATATCTCAAAATTTGATAAAGTTTAAGAATTTAATTATTGGAAAGTCGTAGTTACATCGTGCGACGTAACTTTCCACCAACCCAGCTCGTGCCCAAGTCTATTATCAACAAAAGCAAACAAGTCAGCGAAAACTATTGAATTTTCGGTGACACGCGCGGTTAGTAAAACAATGCAAACTGAATCGAGTCACTCACAGGTGTTTGACTGAGCACGCGTCAGCGAAACCACGACGTGTATCATCTTGGTTGGTGCGAGATATGACAAAGAGATAGAAAAATATAGCTCAATAAAAAATACCTAAATAAATATTAAGAACTCAGCGAACCGCCGTAACGCACGTTTTACATAGATAACGTGAAATTAAAATGAAGATATAAGAGTGCAAACGATATTTTCGATACTCTCTAGACTACTCTTTAGATGTCTTCACGGTGTACTCTAAAGAGTACCATGATTCTCTTGGTATGAGACGCACATCGTGATTGATCGTGCTCATCGCTATCATTTGTAATAATTGTCGCTGGAGGTCAATTTTCGCCCTAACGCTGTACCACTTCTGCTCAGGCTGATTGTCGGTAATGGAGTTAAAAGTATTATTCTATTGTACGGGTCACGGGTGTGATTTAACGTTTAAATTATTTAAGCTACGCGAATTATAATTTTATAACCACTGTATTTGTATGTTACACATGTTCGCTCCTGTATCCGGGATGTGACATGATAAGGTATATATTCATTTTAATACTTATTTACAAAAAAAAATTTTAATCACAACTTATAGGCCGAAAAAGCAAATTTCATGTGGCATCAAGTAAATTAAACTTAGAACAATCATATTTATGTGTATTCATATGGGACACCATATGTTCTCCCAAGTTGAAAGGTAAATGTGATTTAATAGTCACAAAAATGATGAATTGATGCATTTCATCGTTTCGTACAGAGCACAAGAAACATCGAGCACCTGTTATTGTTTCAAATGAGATAACACCAAAAATCCTATCGGAACCTATCGATCAAATTCTATGCTGCTGCTGGCTTCAGTACTCTCGATTGAGTAATTATTATGTTACAATGGCAATAGCTACCGCGTACTTCTTTCGAATTAGAATGAAAACAAATTGGATTTAGATAAATATTGACAGAAAATAAGTAACTGGCGCTAGAGGGATCATATTATTTGACTCCGTGAATCTCAGCAGTGGCCACACAACAATGGATAATCGCCGTTGAATGCTACTTCGAGATTTTATATGTGTCCTAATTTGGAGATCATAATAATGACTCGACTCATTTGCGGAAGAAAAACTAAGACTAAGGAAAAACTGTTTCAATACCAGGAAAATTTTCTCCAAGTTTAAATTTAGAATAAAAGAAAAAGGAAGTAAAAAAAAGTGCATCCATGCTTAGTTTAACTAACTAGCAGATGTAAACTTAAGACCAGTTGAAACATGCTTCCTTCTTATGGGGATCAATTTTTTGTTAATCCACCACAATTGTAAGCCGCAGCTTAAGTTTCGTCATTGTTTCCAAAACGACTGGAAAAAGGTAATGCGATACCTTTCGTGTTTTGATTAATAACTTTATAATGATACATTCAACTACAACACCGAATACATCAGGGTTCATTACAAGTTCGAATTGTTCAACATTTGCAATTCGATGTAATCGTTAGATCGAGGCGCGCTTTGTTGAATTATTATCTCGTAACAATAATACAATATAACAAGACCGCAAAATGGAGATCAGCCGTAAAACACGTCGATGATGCGGAATCACTCCGACAAAACATCTCGCGCGGCATTTGCATAATATAAATGATTGGTTAATGGGCATCGCTCTCGTGTCACGTCGAGCGCGCTGCTAGCTGCACACATCGGCATGCGCATATTATGGTCGAAACGCGAGCGCGCATACGACCGTAAACAGGATGCGCATGAATTTTTGAATTATAATATTCGCAGCGGCTCGACTATTGCAAAGCAATTTAGAGAGGAGTTTGGAGAGCTTTATATTATTATGCATCCATCGTAATTTCTGCGAGCTGCTCGACGGGGTCGCGCGCGAAAGGTGCCGATATTACAAATAGGCACGATGATGCACACATAAACGCGCGCGCACAAACTGTTAATGGCCAAATACATAATGTACAAACGTCGAAATCATAAAGCGTAAAATTAGCTCCTGGGCGGCGATGGACTTTTTATGACAGAGTCATGTGTTTATGTGTGTGTGTGTGTGTGTTTGCCTTATAATAGCTGCTTACACCTGTCCGTCAATTAAGCCCGGAGACTCAGCTCTTGACGGTTGATTCGCTTCCGATACATGACCTTTGCCACCCTCGCGCCAACTTCCGCTCGCTGCGAGTCGATGAGTTGAACGCTTAATTTTTTTTGGAACGAAAATAGCTATACACGCGTATAATCGAAGCGTAAAGATCTGAAAATTGACTTGGAGCGCAGAAAATAATTTGGTTTGTGTATTTAACGTGAAATTAATGTCATCATTTTTTTTTTTCAACTGCGTATACGAGCGAGAGTATTTTGCGACGAATTTACTTTTTTGAATTATAACGAGGCAAGCGCGCGTCTCGTCGTTTTCAGCAGAATTATAGATGCTCTCTTGTGTATCAAAAGCAGAAGTTGATCTTTTTTTTTACTTGCGTTAGAAATTAAAACGAGAAACCGAGGCAACACTTTTTACGAAAAAAAAATATAAAAATTAAAAATTCTTAATTTGAAAAATCAACGAATCAAAAATGTAACTTTAAAGTAACGAAGTTGACATTTCAGAGAGTTTGCAACTATCGATTGCGCAAAATGAGTCAAATTACAAAATTACAAGAAGGACTTTCGAAAAGGATCGTTGTTTCAAAACCTGACATGCATTACATATTATGTATGCGTTGAAAGGAGATACCCACGCGTCGATCCCCCCTTACGCGCGCATCAAATAAATGATGGCTGTTTTATAGTTATGGGCGAAAGTGCAAATTACTCCGTGCGCCGCCTAGTGTTCCAAAAGGGACGATGTGCATGCAACGCAGTATATGCACGTTATATTATTTAAAAATATTCTCCTCTATGCGCAGAGCCCTAATGAGAACGTCCTATTTATTTTATACCCAAGTCTACGTTACACTGCATCATACTTCGAATTATATCAAATCCAGTGCTGCGCTCGCACGAAACCTGGTTCACGTGCACGTGCATCACAAGGGGGGGGAAAGGACAGACGCGCTATTTTTTAAATTGTTGAGTCTTTTCCTTTACGTCAAAAATTATATATCTTTTTAACAAATTTTTTCTCCCTACGCGCAGCAAGTAAACCAAAAAAAAAGTAAAAACGGAGTTGTCGCTTTTTCCCATTTACGTTAGCCCGGCATATCTGCTTCAACTCCATTCGTATACATAAACATACAGTTTACTCTCGCCCTGCTCGTCCTTCTCGAGTCGTTAATACGCTTTTCATACATTATTGAGCCTCTTAATGAAATTTTCTCCCTCCTCCTCCTCCACCTCCTAAAAAAAGTCGCTTTTATGTACATGCACTAGTCTCTCTGTCTCTCTCCCTCGCGAGCGCTGCGTTTATTTATTACGCCTGGATTACTTCAAGTTTTCGCATATGTATTCATTTCTCTCGTAGCGACCTGTCGTCGTGCGTTGCAAGCACGGCACAGGCCGTAGTACTCGGGTGCGCGCGCGAAATCCGATTCAATTAAAAAAGTCCCTCCTCTCTTGCTTACGGCTATGTGTATATAGGCAGACTTGCGCGTGTATATATGTGTGTGTGTGTGTGTATGCACGTCGAGGATGTGCGGATGAAAATTTAATTACTCCCATTAAAAAATTATAAATATGTGTGTTTAGTACTGCGCCGAGGAAGTAAGTTTAATTTCACGTGCTACGCCGGGGGTTTTAATGCGCGCGCGCGGATATATTATAGTAATAGAAGTAGTAGTAGTGGCCAGGAAGAGCTCTAGCTCAAAAGCAAACAAATTCATACTCGCTCACTCTCATCTATCTTAGGCAGCAACAGCCAAAAGTTCATTATTGTATGGTATTAAATACGTGTGCATATGTGCTGCGCTATATTAAACTTATATCCAATATTACCCCTAATGCATTATGCGTACGTGTATACGGCCGTCACCGTGAAGAATCGCATGGAGATGATGTTTAACGTACGTAGTTTTAACATCTCCTTAAAAATCGATATTATTCCGATATACACCGAGCTTTTAAGGATATACTGTATACATGCCGCGCGTCCGCGATAGAATATTATTAATACATAACATACGCGTTCGTATGTATACACAACGCCTGATTTTTGTTTTGGAAATTTAGTGAATGCCCCCTTCCTCCTCGGCTTTCTCTTCCTTCGTTCTCCGAGTTTATACCCGACCGCTCATTGGTCGCTCGAGCAGTCCCCGCTTCTTTGCTTTTTTTTTTTTAGAAAGTAACTCACACGTATGGGCGGTTCTTATGTGTATAATAATACATCCCCGCTTCTCTTTTTCGCCTCTCTCGCATACATTAAAACTATCGCTCGAGGGGGGTCCGTACGAATCAGATGCGTAGTTGAATTATTCCCACCACTACTACTACTACTACTACTACTACTACTACTACTACTACTACCGATCATCATGCCGTGCACGCGTATAAAATATTCAAGGCGGCGGTGGGGCGATACACAAACCGAGGGAGGCACGGCCCATATTCGTGCCAACGAGAAATCCGTGTAATTATCATCCGATGCTGCCGACGAGATGTAAGAACGAGATGACGTTTCATATCATACGATATTTCGACTGCATTATAAAAATATTTCGTCATACGTATATTGCGCGATAGCGATCAAAGCTATATATATGTAGGAGCAGCAGCAGCGATATCTTGTCTCGTGTGTGCGATATTTTAACAAGCGTAAGATACATCTCTCTTTTTTGCAAGTTCTCACGAGGTCGGCTTTTAATTTGCTTGTTATGATACACGAGAGCCATGGCTACGGCTGCTGATGCGGAGGAGATTACATTTGTATGAGGACGTATTTTTGAGTTTTGCTACTGGTGACTGAAGCGTGCACGACGATCGTGACAGATGATTTCGAGAAGATTAATAAGAATGTTAAGTTAATCATCATCGTTATTATTACTACAATTATTTTTTAACTGTATCTCACCGAAAAGTTAAATTTTCTTCTTGCATTAAAAAAAGTGACAGATTAAATAGTCTAGATGATAAATTCACAGCCAAAAACGTTATAGCCATAGCCAAAAACGTGCTTTGTTTTATAAAATCATTTTCATTTTGTCACTTGCAGACTTACAGATGAGGGTATTCGCCATCTGGTGGCGAATTAGAAGGCTTTAAGTAGTATTATCATAAAGCGGTTGAAATTTAGTCTACATTTTTTTTTAAACCATTGAATTGTCATTTTCAGGTCATTTAAAACGCACTTGATATTTCATAATTTAACGAAAAAACTGCAAAAACAAACCTATTAATGGTAATGGACTTTTTAAACAATTTCACGTGATTATTCTTTAGTCAATCGTCTCGTTATATTGTGAATTTTCATCGGGGTACTTTTAAATAACGAGTTGTAAATCACTTTTTTCAATATTTATTATATCTATAAGCTAGGCTAAAGTGAATAATGAACAATTTCGTTATTATCTAGACAACGATTTCTCTTTCAGAAAATTTTCGTTTTAGTCTAACTTCGGTACCTACTTGGACACAATAACTGATGAGTCTAGTATATACACTATTTTTGTGTGCTATAAATGGTTCCACTCACATTCGGTATCGTAGAAGGTATTTTAACGTAGATGGCGAAAAGTATAAGCGTTTTATAGAATAAGTGGTTTCATAATTAGTATTGTTGATTGTAGAAAATCATGCAGTCAAATGTAACAAGGTTGATTCAAAAAAAGAAATTTTATCTCATTTTTAAAAAAAGTGTATTTATTGTTTAGTTTTAAATAATTTTAAACAAGAACTAAAGATATTATTATTGAAAAAAATGTTACTGACTATTCATTGTAATTTTTAACGCGATTCAACAAAGATTTCGCATATTTATTGAGTCACAATGCTTGAGTGATGCAGTTCATCGATATGAACTTTGAGACGACATTTTTGTGAAAATGACTTTCCGCATAAATCACAAGTATATCTAACGCCATGATGCACCTGATTGATATGGACTTTGGGATCACGCTTTTTGGTGAATATCTACGTGCAAAAACCACATGCGTGAGTATCTATATGGAGCCGAAGTTGTGCTTTGCGTGCGTATGTCTTTCCGCATACATCACATTCATAATTTATCTTATTGTGCACCGAATTGATATGTACTCGAACATTTTCCTTGCGTGTGAATGTCTTCTCGCATATATCGCATTCATGAATCATCTTGAGATGTGCCGTCTCGATATGACGTTTCAGACATTGCTTGTTTAAGAATGTCTTTTTGCATACATCACAATCAAAATTGATTTTATTATGCATCGAATTAATATGGATTCGGAGTGATGCATTTAGCGTGAATGTCTTGCTGCATATACCACAAGTATGAGTAATTTTTTTGTGCACACTATCAATATGAACTAGAACACTTTTCTTACTAGCGAAAGTCCTTTTGCATATATCACATGAATGAGTAATTTTATTGTGCACAGAATCGACGTGGTCTAGAAGACTTCTCTTGTTTAAGAATATTTTTCCGCATACTTCACATCCATGAGTAATTTTTTTATGAGCTTTATTAATATGGATTCGAAGGCTTTCCTTAAATTTGAATGTCTTTCTGCATCTATCACATTCATGAGTTATTCCATTGTGCACCGAATCGACGTGGTTTTTTAGTCTACTCTTTTGTTTAAATGACTTTCCGCATCTATCACATGAATGAGTAATATTTTTATGCATCCCATTAATATGTTCTCGAAGACTATCTTTATATGTAAATGTTTTTCCGCATATATCGCACCGATGAGTAATTTTATTATGAACTGAATCGATATGTCGTTTAAGTTTCTCCTTTAGTGTGTATGTCTTACTGCACATACCACAAGAATGAGTAATTTTTTTATGTACCGAATAGTTATGTTTGTCGAGATTAGTCCTGCCAGAGTAATTCTTTCCGCATGTTTTACACGCGTATCTGGTACGATTATGCACCGAATCGATATGAGTATTGACACTACTCTTCTCTGTAAATGACTTTCCACAGATATCACAGTTGTAAGGTTTCTGATTTTTGTGAGCTGAATCGACGTGTCTTCTGAGATTAGTTTTACTTTTGTATTTCTTAGCGCATTTGTCACAGGCGTATCTTGTATCACTATGCACCGAACTGACGTGCTTTTTGAGATTAATCTTACTCGAGTAATTCTTACCGCATATTTCACATGCGTGGTTTTTATCATTTTGCGCTGAATCATTGTACCTTTCAAGTTCACGTTGATACTTCAACTTTTTCTTAACTCTTTTTTTTACATTCTGCTCGTTGAGTTCAGGGTCAAAATTCGTACTCAATTGTTTTGCATCGTCATTGCAAAATTCTTTACTCACTACTTTTGAAGTTTCCAATTCAATTGTTTTTTGACTTTCATAATTCTTACTATATTTTATATTTTGCAAATGATGTGGAGAATAATTCTCAATTTTCTTCACTGGTAATAAGTTCGAATTAGGTTTCACGTCCTCACATTCAAGCTCTATTTTTATTTCGTCAATGAGTTTAGAATTTTCGTGATATTCTTGAAGCATAAAGGTCTGTAATTTATGGGAAATAATTTATTAAAAATGTTGACTATAGAACCTGTTGAATCTAAAATTTTGAATATAATTTTATAAACTTACTGGATTTTCTCGCTGAAAGCTCCAGTATTGAAAACTTTTAGTATCTGGTGACTCGTCAGTTATTTCATATTGATTTTTAGCGAGCGTCATATTATCCGGTTCCTCTTTTACTCTGAAATGACATTTATAAAATTAAGTATTATTTCATAAAATTTGTATAAATTTTTCCTCAAAAATGAAACTTACCTGACTGAACAGTTAGACATCTCACTCAAATCCATCTTCCTTACTTAGAGCTTCATCAAGGATTAGTCTTTCTGTAACAATGTTACACATTTTAATAACTTACATTAAATTTCTTGCATAATATTTACAAATCATAATACTAAAATTCAAATAATTTATTCATTGTATAATATAAAAGAATACCCTTACATGTAGAAAATTAAATTGAAGTAAAAACAAATCTTGTTTTGAAAACGAAAAGTACTGAAATTCATTAGATAAGCAATTTTCACCAATTTTTATGTGTAAAAAATTACAAATTGTAATAAAAATTTTAATACTTCACAATTGAACTATTGGACAAAAGTTTACAAAATAGTTAACATTTTTAAAAATATTTCAAGTAAATAAGATAAATAGTTTGATTCATTTCAACGTGAAAAAAAGCAATAAAAAAGTTATGCGGATCATTTCGAGCAGTCGTTTATATTCACAATGCAGACACGCGTAACGTGATTGACAAAGTATACCTACATCGTTTCGAATCGTCAAAAAAAAAAAAAATCGACAATTTCAGTGCGCCCATCGAGTTTAGATATTTATTCGTGAACGAGAAGAAGAGGGGAAAAGAAACTCGTTAAACGTTCTGGAGCCAGCGGACACTCATTACAAAATTTTATTAACCATATTCTCCCGTCCGAACGACGCTCGAACCTTCTTTATATTCCGCCATAAAGAGACACGATGCGTGCCTGTATACGTCTGCGTAGGCGCGTAATTCGCGTTCGGAGCATAACATTGTATTTGTTATTGTACACGCGGACCGAGGGTGTAGCGTGACACTCTCGTGCGTTGTCGAATCTATCCAAATTTCCAAATTTTTGTATGCGCCATACGTACTGTACGCGAGCTCGAGATTCAAGAAAGAGAGAGAGAGAGAGAGAGATTCATCAAAAAGCGACTATTATGTCACGGAACAAGGCCATAAGTCAGTCGCACTAAAGTCTCGAGGACTTATTGCTCGACTTTGTATTGCATTATACGATCTTACGCGTATAATAATGTACTTTTTCGTGTATATGAAGCTAAGCTCTCCCCATTACCTCTCTGAAAGTCGCACATATTATACACTCACGCGAGGTATATAAATACATAATAAAAAATCGCAGCAGCAGCAACAACGGCAGCGGGTGGCCTCTTCGAAACTTCAAAGGACATGGTCAAAATTGACGCTTCGAGTGCAACAGCTTTTATTATTGCCTAAATTTTGTAAACGGAGACAGACAGGGTTCTCGAAAAGTTGATACGTACATATTACGGAACATTTTCCACGTACGAACATTATCCAAACGTTTTTCGTATTATTATTATCTCAGTTTTTCTTTTCTTTTTTTTCAATGCTATATTAATCAACGAATCCGCGCCCGCCGCGTGCCGCTGCTGCGGACACGAGCGGCATCGTTCAATTTGGGAATTTATTCAAGATTGTTCAGCCAGTGCATCAATCACTCTTTTACATACGCATACCTGTATAGAGTCGAGAGCAAATGGAATTAAGGAGATCGCAGGACGACGAGCCGCGCGACGCGCCACGTGGATGTTTTTATCATTAAAAAAAAACGGACTAAAAATATTAGCTGGGGAAAATTTTCCTCTCTCCTTTCTCCAATCAGTTCGATTGAGATGCGCGGGATTCAAAGGCATATCGTATAACGGAGACCAAGCTGCGTCGTCCTTCGGTATCAATTATTTTACACGACGTTCGCTGGAATCCTTTGTAATTGAAAATATGTACTAACAAAGAGAAATTTACGCGGAGACTGATTTTACGGTAATGAAAAAAAGACACAACACTGAAATGGAAAATGTCAAATACGACTGAGCCAGAAGAACTCGAATCGAACACTCATGCGGCAATGTATAAAAAATCAAAACGATCTAAACGTCGATCTAGCCTAATTTTTCAACCACAATTCCAAGTTATATAATTGAATTAAGGCTCGCGCATCGCCTCTCTGCTCGCACGCGATATCGTATTTCGTACCTTCTTCCTTTTTTCAATCCGCCTATTGTATCGAATATCTTACATTATGCTCTGTGTATGTATGTATGTATGTGTCGAGTGCTGCAGCAGCAACAATAGCACATGTGCGAGGCAATGGCGCGCATCAAAGGCAAAAATCTCAAATCTCGAGCTCGATTGTGTTAGTATACAGTAAGAAGCGCACGATTGGGAGATCTGCTACACGCGCTTTGACGTGCGGACACGATGGCAAGGAGAATAACTCAGTTTATACGCACTTTTTTATATTAAGTGTGAGTTCCAGCATGTGTGTTAAAAAAAAGGAAGCAAAGAAAATATATCACATCGCGTATATTATAACCTTCAACGAGCTTGCGCAAGACTAATGAATCTTATCGGCGTGCAAGAGGCTAGTAGTATATACGGTATATATATATGCCTTTAACCTCATTTTGCCGCTGAAATAATACGTCATAACAAATTTCGCCCGTAATTTTTCATAGCTCGTAGATATTATAGAGATAGATATATATACCCTTCCTAGACGTGTGCCATGCGAGGAAGGCAGAGCGCAACGTAAATGACGTTTGGAACGAGCTGTAGCAGTGCAGCGAACGAACGAGACGTGAAACGGGCCGTCGTCTTATAGTATGGTATATAGTATACGATGGGATTTTATCTCAGTCGATGTAACTGACGAGTGCATTATACTCGTAAAAAGAAAACTTGGGAAAGAAGAGAGGCGAAGGAGGAAGGAAGGAAGAAGAAAGAAAAAGTGACACTATATATATTTATAAAGTTGAGATAAGATATCATAGCACACGCACACACGCGTCTATGTAACTGCACATATATATTATGTATAGGCGATGGGTCAAGAGCTGCGAGTGGCTCGACACATTAGAGTTTGAAACGCGCGGCTATCGTCGTGAGATGCCACCGCCTATCACTGGAAGTCTTTATTGCGACACCTTAAACGAGATCCGGACGAAATGGCTCGGTAAACATTTTCCTTCTTACCTTATTACACAAAAGTCTCAAGAAAATCCTCGACGGCGACTAACTCGTTATATTGTCGAATAATAATTCACTTTTTTCTCGGGGCAGTCAGTCGGACGCGCATCATCGAAGTCTTCTGCCGGCGTGGGTTAATAAACCAACAATCGAATCATTTCCACTTGTTTTACTCCTTTTAGAACCACGCGAAACGGTTATACACACTCAACTCACGTTTGTAACCGTGTGCCCCGCAACGCGGGAATGAGCATAGTTTAGTGCGTCTGCGCGTGTATATGAAATAGGAAAGGAAACTGCAACGCGGCGGCAGTTACACGCACACAATGGAACGCGTTTACTTTGCGAAAACAAACGAATATTAATACGCGTCCAAACGAGCGAACAACAAACGTTATATTAGCGGCGGCCTATGGCTATATTACTTTACGCTACTACACGCGAGAAAGAGAGAGAGAGAGAGAGAATTCGCAAGTGCAAAGCTATCGCAGTGTGTATTATAACGATTATTTCCGTGTATAATAATCTGTTTAACTTCCAAGTTCGCGGCACTGTGTGGATTGTAATTTCAACCTCGTTATAATTTTGCAAAAGTGTTAACTACCCAACAATACGGTTGATATGCGAAATTAACAGTTGCTGTTATCACAATACCCGCGGCTGCGTTCGAAACTCGGGGTGATCTCGTTCGAAGTTTCGAGGTGCGCGCGTATAACGTATATAACCGCCACCGCGAAGGCTGCCGTCGGATAGTGACCCCACACACACACACACACGGATACACAACACAGTATATTGGATGTGTGAGCGGACTGCGACACTTTGCAGCACTTGAAAATTGTTTTAGATGTATTCGTCTCGCTTTACACTCATGTTACAATGTAAAAGATATACAACACAGATTCTTCGCGATACGCCCGCCACTAGTGAGTGCAGTGATTACGTGCAGGTTATGTGAATGTGAATGTGTGTGTGCGTGCGAGTTTAAGCGGGAGTTGAAAAAAATGACGCGTTCGATTGAGTCGTTAATACACGAGTGAACTGCGTGTTTTGTATACTTCGATCGATGAAAGGAGTGACGGGGAGGTTCGGATCGAGAGTGTAACAATCGCACAGAGAAAACCAGTAATAATACGGCATTGAGAACGGAAAATGTATGAGATACGCGTAAAGAGTGTGTGCCGATGATGATGCCGCGCGGCGAAAGGGGGAAGACGAAGATACCATATACATCGTGCAGTCATCGTGCGCTCCGTTACGTACGTTCGATTATACCTAGATGTGAGTTTTTTTCTTTTTTTCTTTTCTCTAATCGATCGATGAACACACAATTCGTTTTTTACTCCCTCGCGAGATCGTTACAGTCGATCGTCGTCGTTCTTTTTTCGTTTCGTTTTTTATCGTTTGGCTCGCAAAAACTTTTTCGAACTATTTCAAGTGAAGTGTAGCGCGGTGCACTATGCTATGCGCGGAGGAGGTGCCTTTGTTTTGTCTTTTTTTCGTTTACTCCCGAGCTTAAGACCACTGCACAGTAGCCAAGGGTTATATACACATCAACAGGGATGAGCAGAAAAGTTACTTGTAAAGAGTTCATGCGTTAAAAGGATCTGTATATATACGAGAGACCCGTACGTGTACCTCTTGGCTATCGGATGAGTGAAATTGTTTCTTTCTACGTTACACGCGCGACTTTGAACCGAGACGTTTTTGCCTTCTTTCTCAGCGCCGCGACCGCGTACGTCGCATCAAAAAAGTTAAGTATCCACGGTTTTCCATCGGAATTCTATTTTCAAAATATTTTTTCCCCTCTCGATAGTGACCGCACGCGATACACTTATAATACACACACCCCGAGTCGCGTCGTACGTGTTTACTGGACAGACGAAACGGTGCTGTTATTGCGCGCCTGCGAGAGCAGCTTGTACGACACAACTTTTTTTTATATATAAAGTGAAATATCATCGGACGTTTTTTGTGCAAAATAAAAAAAAAGTTCCGAGAGAGGGACACACCATAAGC